ACACACACACACACACCTTAGCACAGCCAAAGGGAGATTTCGACAGTACTGCCTGACTGCTGAAAGGTGAAAGGGATTGGAAGGAACTTAATAAACCCAGGCAGTGTCTGACGGATGCTGCAAATGGAGGCTGAGAGCAATTTAGCTTTGTGACATTCCATCCTCTGCGTCTCGGATGGAAGCTGGGACAGAGCCAGGGATGAGACTGAGGAGTGAAATAGACTGGCATCACTGCAGTGACCTTGATGTTGACCTCAACCGCGACTGTGACTTTAAACCACCCATCTCATGCTTCAGGGGCACTCTCCCCCCCCCAGCATCGCTACCTGTTTTTATTCTGTAACATCCTCACCACTGCATTAGACTAAAGCAAGAGGGTATAGCAGGTGAAACAATGTCTTATTTCTGATTCTTACATCTAACTAAAAGGCAATGGGTTCTTTTCCATCACCCTGTTCCTTCTTCTGTACTCAGTATAATAACTAGACCCCCACAATTCCGACTCATTTTTTATTGTCAGTACGTCCCCGGTAATAGGTGTCAGTGATACAAGGAGCATTTGCAGTTTATGGTCTCTAATTATTGGTCTTTGATTGTTATGTGAACTGATACAGGCATGATAAGGTGTCGATATGTCATTTTTGATCTAAGCTCAAAATGTGAAAATAATAAAATGTGCTTTGTAAAGCATTAAAGAAATACCACTCATCACAGCCAGTACATAAAACTGCACGGCAATACAATTCACATTATATGCATTGGCACTGTCATTACTGATAGGCCTCAGATTTTAGCACTCCTGCTGTCATTTGTCTTTTTATTTAGCTTTACTCAAGTGCGCTTTAACTTTATTGATGATGTCATTAGTTTGTATTAAGTAGGGTAAGAACTTTTTTTAGGTGCTCTAGATTAGACTTGAGCTACTCTACAAATGGGAAATTATATGGGAGTCGTATCCATGAGCAGAAGGCTTTAGTGCATTTGGAGCTGATCCTGTGGTTGTATTTCCTAAAAGTTTATTATGCACATGGTAAGAAAATGTCATCACATTTTTGCTCATCCCAAAAAATAATCTATTTTAAAATTCACAGGGCACAGAAAGATTTGTCCATTTTTTTTGGTCATTTTTGTAAATGTTGTATTTACATGTACATATTGTGTTTCATACCTCTTTTGCATTATCTGGATGTAAATATTGGGCTCTCATTGATCCCACAGAGGGTCTGACTCACTAAGCAATCTGTATTTTGTTGTACATATTTTTATAGAACACCTAAATCTAATGCAAACCTGTAACAGTCTTCACATACAGAATGCATGAGTAAAAAATGTGCAACTTTGCAGCCGTTAGAAAGACTTGGTGACTCAGGCCCCATTTACATGTTGTATTGCTGCATAATCTTCTGAACTGTGATGTTCTTTGTCTTCAGAACCACCTTAAATGCCTTAAACGACAAGCATCTCGCAGGCTTAATGTTAAGGTTGTTTCTTGTTCTGTGTTGTTTATGTACATGTAAATGTACATTGTCTCTAGACAGTTCCACTGTGATCCCCTGTGCTCCACCAAGTTTTTAGTCTACAGCCAGCTGGATTAAACATACACATTGCTATTGCTATGAATGTTGTCACAGTAGCTCTAATGTAGTGAGAGGCTCCATTTTGAGACTCATACATTACCCATAAAACTTGAGCACTCGCTAGGATAGGGTTGATTGTTCGAACGGTGTTTTTATGGTGTTATAGATGTCATTTGTTTTCATGATGGAAGTAAGGAAAGTTTAATTTATATATGCATTTGAAACTTCTTTCTTCTTAGGACAGGGAATGTTTTACATAAAAGCTGTCATTGGTTGTTGCTATGTTACAAAGACTGGATTTAAAGAAAAGTTTGCAACTCTCAATCACAAAACTCATGCTGAAGCCATCCTCTCAAATGAGCAAAGCGGACCTGAGAATGTTTTGTAAAGGATGTACAACTGCTCTTACCATCCCAAAAAGGTATGACCACGATATCTTTCAAAAACCAGAAACAGGTTTTGAAGGATCTCGTTTTAAAAGTGCAGGTTTATCCAAATTCTTAACTGGTAGATATTCTGGTACATTAGGTTCATTTGTGTAGTTCTTGTCTATGGCTATTTTATCAACGTAAGGACCATTCTGATATCTGGATACTGTGAAATATATCAAATATAGCCCAAAGTGATACTGCAAAGTAAAAAGTATGATACTGTATATTGGCAAAATTTTAACTGCTGGATGAATTAGTGAAATTAAAAAACTCAAATGGCTTGAGGTGGATTTTTTTTCCCCCAGCTCCATCATAGTTGTGCATACATCCACTCAGCTGCAGACTGTGGTAACACTGGGCTCTGCGATGTCACTCCACTAATAAAACGTCCCAATCATACTCCTCGCAGCAGCTTCTGAGGTAAGAACTCAGAGGGCCATTTTCTATTCAAGCAAGCAGATTGCCTTTACAGTACGTCTTTATGTTGTGTGGGGGTTTCAAGTTGAGAGTTAGTCTGTACTGCAAGTGAAGCAGCTTTTTTTCTGTATGTCAGTTGGTCTCTGCATGTAATTTTTGGTACACGTTTTGTGAATGTATTTTTTTACAATTTCTCAGTTTGCTAAATGTATGTTTTGTTATTTTTGATGTTTTTTGTGTGTTTGCAAATAAAAGTAGAAAAATTCTTTGTGAACATAATTTTATCTTCATTGTGACATCATGGACATCAAAACTGATGAAAGATAAGGAGTAGTGTGGCATCTTGGGAAATATATTTCTTTACAAGAGTTAGATAAAGGACTGATACCACTCATGTCTGTGCACCATGAATGGAGCCTGCCAGGACCACATTAGCTTAGCTTAGCATAAAGACAGGAAGCAGGGGGAAACACTAGCCTGGCTCTGTCCAAAGTTGAAACATCCATCTACACGTATCTTACTTGTTTAATCTGTACACAAACAATAACGTAGAATGAACAGTTTGTGATTTTACAGAGATACATGCTGTAACTATTTCAGTGACTTCTAGGAGTCTCCGCTGGTTGCCTGGCAACCTCACAGTGACAAGACTGCAGGAAGTTGCCACTCTTGGGTGCCGTTTGCCAAGAAGTAGTCACTAGTAGTCTTTATGCTAAGCTAAGGTTATCGCCTCCTGGCTCAAGCTTCACATTTCACTCACAGACACTCACCGGCAGGGATGTTATTCATCTAACTCTCACCAAGAAAGTGAATAAACATATTTCCCACCAGAATGTTGAAACTATTCCTTTAATCTTCATCAATCACTGTGAGATGTAATAATTTGCTTACAATAATATATGAACATGAGTTTACAAATATAACTGCATGAGATGATCTAAAAGGGCATCTTGCATACATGTATACCCTGTTAGATGAGTTTTTTGTGGTAGGCAGATCTGCACAGAGGACAGGAAGGTCTGCTCTCCACAGTAAAAGCCTCAAAGGCCTCTAGACAGAGCTGATGGAAGAGGTGGGAACAGGACAGAAGCACGGTGCGTCTATATTGTCGAAGGCTGGATGTACCCGCTTCTGTTGGGAGGCTCGGGAAGCACAATGCAGTCAGGCAGATGGCGCAGTCCCAGACACCTCTCTGGATAACCTGTCCAGGAAACAAACAATGTAAGTTCTTTGACTAACTTAAAGATCCCCTCCAGACATGTATTAAGACATATACAAATAGTCTGCTTGCAAATAATGTGGCTCTGAATATGGGCAAAAAAAAGATCATTTCCACATTTAAATCGTAATACCTTATTAAAATTAATTATTACTGTAATTAATTGAAAATGCAACTTTAGTTCGTTTCTAAAGTTTTCCTGCTGGACACAAGATGTCTCCTACATCACTGTAACCTCTATTCTCAGTATCTGTGCACTGGTGATTTCAAGTTTCTACATCACACTTGTATAAGTTGCATACTGGACCAGGATTTACTTCCAAACGATGTCACATAGCATGCTTGTAGGCCCCGCCCCTTAAAATCTTTTCTTTCAATGAGCACAGAGAAAGTTTCCACTTTCTTAAGATGAATGTGAAAACACCCTTCTAGTGTCAAACTGTGCACATACATCATTCTGCCCAGTGAAGCTCAAACATGCAACTGTGGGAACAGGTAGTACATATTTTTGAGTGGAGACGGACTTTAAGAATATTTACACCAACAGTCGGAGGTCATTTTTGCATGTGGATTAGGCAGTAATAACTGTGCCACTGCTATTTGCTTATAAAGTCCTCTGAATCAAATCTGTTTGCAACTAGTTGACAAGTTTCATCAGACACGGGGTGATAACGTGTTTATCAGTGATCCTTATAAAGCAAAGAAACACATGCACAGCTCTGCCAATGATTAACCAAAGACAGCTTCCTGTATTTAGGGGCCAACATGCCCCACCGTTAAATGTTTCATAACGAGCTGCACTCCGCTTTATAGAGTTTGCACCCGTGAAAAAGGTGCAAGGTATGTGTTGAAAGCACATTCACTGTTTCATACTCCATGTCAAGGCTGAGCCACTCCTGCCTTGTGCTCAACCTTTTCACACCAGATAAAGAAGAGAAGAAAAAAAAAAAGAGGAAAAAAAAAAAGACATCTTCTTTGCACACACTCCACCCCCTCTATGGAAAATGGTACTGGTTGCAATGAAAGCCAACAATGGAGCCTTATGGAACAGCAAATCTTAATGTCTTTTCAATTCCTTCGCAGCAGTCCAGGCGATGAAAAGCCTGCCGTGCATTATCAGACTGGCTCATGTTTTTTGTAAACACGGAGGATTATTAGCCTACCCACTGCCATTCACTTGGTAAAGTGAATGATCACCTCTGGAGAGATGTGTACTTTCTATCCAGCAGCTGTGATGCTGTCGTCCCCATGCAAGCATTAACATGTCAAGGGAAAGGCAAGGCTGGGAGAGGAAGAATCAGACAAGGATTATATATTTTTACGGGGCCTTGTTTAAGGATAGAAGTGGCTTCGGGTTCAGCAGAGTGCATCTTGTTCCTGACCTGGCTCTCTATTCGGTCCCAGTCGTTCTCCTGAGGTTCGGAGATGTGCTTTCTCTCCAGCTGCTGGAACACTCGTCTGCTGGATGACAGCGAGCGGTTGATATCACTCAGAAAAGCCTCCGTGTCGGTGTGACAGTATCGGACAAAGCTGTCATTCAACTCCTGCAACTAATTAGAAAACCCATTTTAGTGGCACAAAGGAGGCATGTTTCATTCAGATACACAATGGAGTCGTGTTGTCGGCGAAGGCTAATTGTGTGTGTGTATTGTAATGGCTGAGGCACGCTGACAGGGTGCAGTTGTTAAACAGCCAGATCAATACAGTCACGTCTCCCACTAACATGGAGAATTAATGGAAACCAGTAAAAAAGGAAGATAGTGCTGGGAAACATGGAAACACACGCATCTCTGACACTTTTTCTGTCTGGGTATTTTATAGATCGATTCCAGTTTTAAGGCAATAAATAAAAGATTCAGTATGTACCCACCATAATGTTACCCCTGGCAGTGTGAATAAGGCTTTGAAACAGCATTCAAGCAGTCATGTATGGAAAATAGATAATCCGATTAAAAAGCCAATTAAATTAGCAAAAATATAATAAAATCTAAATACCATAGACATTTGAAGGTATATATTTTTGGTTTAGGTATTCTTTCTGAACAGAGGGCAGAATCAGGGACTTGGACTCCTGACTTCAGTCTGTCTACAGCCCAGTTTCTATGATGTTAATTTCAGCTGGAGTGCACAATCACCTCTTCCAGTCTCAAATTGACTGATTTTAAAGATTTCTTTCCAGTGTCTGTCCTCCCAGAACTCATCTGTCTTTTCCCATTTACAGCAGCTGTTGCTAGGCAACAATTAATGCCTGCATAGCATATTTATATCCAAAACATATTCAGTAGTGAATTAATAGGCTATTTATATATATATATATATATATATATATAAGTTTCAACAGCACTATGAATTTGACCAATTAATTTATAGTTCTGCATGTAACACAATTAAATAATAATTGAACCATCTCCATGACAACTGAACAAACTGCATACACCAATGGAAGACCATGAGATGTGGGTGAAAGCCAACCAAGTAAGGAAGCTTTGTGATGAGAATGTTTTGTTAAACATTTTACTAAGTGACTCCATGATAAAAACTATACATTAATGTAGGACTACAACTGGCTGAAGATTTTTCTCCATTAACCGTCAATAAAGTGTAAAAATATAAAATTTGTGACAAACACTCTTTGCCCGAGGGAATGTCTTCAAATTACTTGTTTTGTCCAAACAACAGACCAAAGAGGGAGGATATTCACTTTACTGTTACATCAAATAAAGAAAAGCAAAATCCTCACAATTAAGAAGCTGAAAGTAGGGAATCTTTGGCATTTTGTGTAAAAAATGACCTAATCGATTATCAAAGTTGTTGGCAATAATTTTCTGTCAGTCAGCTAACAGTTGCACCTCAAAGTTAATGTGTTGCATTACATCTGGGAAAAGTCATGTAAACTGCCTACATGCAATTAGTGCAACATGTCACTAAGAGTAACATTAGCCTCAGCACCTGCTTGCACACATGTACGTGTTTTCTCTGTTTATGACTCACCTACACACACATACAAATACAAACCCCATCCCTTAGCCTGTCAGAATTGCTTTACAGCTAGGCTTTTATCACTAATTAAACAACTGTTGACCATTCGGATGGAGGGTTTTATGAGCCTGGCTGACTTTTCGACAGTCAAGGCAAACAGTACAGCCTCTGGTGAACTTTGCCTTGCTCCACAGGAGATGCGGACGAGAGAGGACACAGAGGGGAAGAGGAGGTGGAGCGCATAGGCGTTATCTCACGGCAATCCATCTAGATGACGGTAGTGTCCCCCTTAATGTGTTGACTAAGGGTCGGACCTCCGAAGCGAATAAAAATTGAAAGCTGGGCATCAGGATCAGCTGATAAGACTTCTGTAACTGACCTGATATGTGGGAGTTTTTTTTTCTTCCAGGGAACACCTGTGGCTTCATGGTACAAAGATGCTTTATTGCCTCATGCTATTACAAGGAAAACTGAAAGAATAGGTTTCTCCGTCTCACACAGGTTCCAGCCCAGCACTAACACGTCTGTTTGCATTACAGTCAGCTAAGCAAATAAGTCTTCCCCTTGAAAATCAAGTCAATCAGACCTGTCAGCGCTGTGTTGCGCAGCTCAAAGCTCTTGAAGATCATCCTCAGTGTGACAAAAGACATGAGACAATCTCATGACCACCCACAACCACTGAATCACACAACATGAATGTAAAGTGACTGACAGCGTCTATGACTCCATCCTAAGCATGTGGACCCGGACATGGCCTAATGTGTTAGAACACAGTTAATTGGCTCAGTAAATGTGGTGTCTTTGTTTACATGACATCTTAAAGGCATGGTTTATAGGCGAGATGATAGACACTGACAGGGGGATGGGTAGGACACTCCGACCCTTGCAACACGTAATAAGTGTGGCCCTCACGCATTTATCACTTTTGCTTAATCAGCCCCTTTGAAGCACAGGGGCACTCTGCATGATTACCACACTCCACATAGAAATAAACAGGGCCTGTTCTTAAAGACATTGGACATATAGTACACAAGTAGGAGCTATGACTATTTTAAAGCAGGGTCATTAGATGATTTTGTGTGAGAAATTACTCTGTATCCCTGAAAAACTGATGTCTGGTTAAGAGAAATCGTGACCAGTCTCGTCCATGGTCAACCAAGGCCTCAGTTGGGGGAGGTTCACTAGGTGGCAATGTTCCCTTTTCCTGAGAGCCACCATGAAGGCAACACAGCCTCAGAGTCAAACAACTCCATCCACTGGCTGCTCCTGAGTCCACTTTTAAATAATCCTTCCATCAAGTCCAGTCTTTGCATGATTTATAGCTTTTGAAATGGGACTAGAGAACAAAGCCTGAAATGACAACCTGCTCGACCTCACCTCTTCACCCTTTCCCATCCAACCCAGTAACAGAGCGACACACACACACACACACACACAAACAGACACACACACACATACAGATAGATGAAGGAATACCAGACTTAAACATGCACAGGAAACATCAAGCTTTTGTGTTGACGCTGGAATGTCCAGACTGTTTGACTAAAACACAAAACTCTCTCCACATTAGTGGACAAACAGTGTATGATTCACAAAACATCAAAGGAGCTTGAGAGGGTGAGAGCAGGTGAAGGTGTGTGTGTGTGTGTGTGTGTGTGTGTGTGTGTGTGTGTTTGTGTCTGTGTGTCTGTAGGTTAGCAGTGGGGTCAGTGAGTCCCTGAAACCCATGTCTCAACCCTCAAGATGTGATGTTCGTCACTGGCTTTATTTAACGAACTAAACAGTCAGAGTGAAGTGTAGGGGGGGAAAAGGAGACGTGAGGGGACAGATGCTAAGCAGGGTGACCTGATGTATGTTCGATGTGATCCAAAGAAGCATAATTAATCTAGAATTTCTGCAGTAATGTGATGAAGTCCAAACTCACCTTTGCTTCGAAGAATTTACGTCGCAGCCGTTTGTCTTTTGGGCAGATGGATTTTCTCAATGTCCGGTATCTTTTTCGAGCAGCGTAGCCTCGCCAGCATGCTTGTATTCTACACACAAACACACATTCAAAAAGAACAAAGAAACAACAATCACATCATCTGATAGGGTGGGATCAAATCTTACAAAAATGAGGTAAAGAGATTTGAAGAACAGACCGTATTTGCTGATTTCTATGTTTATATGAAGCCACTAGCTTCTTGGTTAGGCTAATTTAATTAAGTGGAAATAAGATTACATTATTTCTCATTTGTCAGACCTCAGCCAAATTACAACATAGATAAAGATGTATAGACAAGTCACATACAATAACTTTATGTACAACTATAGTGACAGCAATTTTAACATGCCTCCAATTTTGTATGTAAAGCAGATTTACTTTGCTCAAATTGAAATGTGCTATATAAATATAATTTCCTTGCCTCTGTCTTTTACAACAGCACACCTACTCTACTTTTAATATATTTCATATATAAAACATCTTTCAGTATTTGAGGATGTTTTTTTATGCTGTTTTGCTGCCTTAGTCACTTGGTGAGACAGTGTGATGAATTCTTATTGTTTGAAAGGGAATGTCAGTTCTATACATTTTGTATTTATATCTATACGTATAGAATTTGATCCATGACTTTTGTTTTTTTTTTAAATGTGTGGTTTAGTGCATGTACCTGGTGGCACACTGGTGTCTGAAGAGTTGAGCTGCATCGTGGATCACCCGTGTCTCATACTGCTGCTTTCTGCACATCGGGCAGCACTTCCTCCCAGAAAACCTCTCAAAGGCCTGCAAACATGCTCTGTGGAAAACATGAGAACAAGACAGCAACACCTAAAAAGAAACAGGGACATAAGTTACTCAGTATATGTGAAATAAAAAATTGTATTGTACATGCAATGAAACATGCATCTAAACCAGTATTAGAGTTTAGATTTAATTAGTTGACTGACTATAAGGGTTGTCTCCAGAGGATGCTGCTGAACGTGTATTCAGGTTTTCTTACAGTGCTTAGGAAAGCTCTCATCCAGTACACAGTCTGTGTTATGTGGTGTGTGTATGTGAGCCTTAAGCCATGCTAAATCTGTGTGTATTCATGCACGTGTGTGAATGTCTGTATGTATCTGCTTTTAAGTGTTATTTGCTTAGAGGATAGAGGGAGTCAGCATGACCCCCAGTGGGCCGGCTGGGACCTGGACTATAGTCTCCTCTACCTGTGAGAGGGAGTCTTTTATCGTCTGAAAGGAGACGGCCACAGCTATGGGGCTTGGCACACAAACCAGTTTACTCAGATCTCTAGAGGGCAGGGGGGAGGCATATTGATTTCCCATTGTTTTTGGCCTGACCAACACACTCCATCACCAGTGAAAGGGCCCCCTGCAGTGTACAATTTCCAGGAGCTCGACAAGCCATTAGAGCACGGAGAAATTTCACTTCTCACAGTGCTTTAAGGCTACAAGCTACAGTTTATGGACATAAAATATAGAAATGGAATAAAAATGTTATTCAAATGTACATTTCTTATTGGTATTAAAATAATATGAGCTGAATAGTATGCAAGTATCAACAATAGCAACTGCTGCTGTAAGCATTTTTAATTGTCATATTAATGCTTGAATGCAACACAAGACTGCGGCACACAAACGCATTGTTACAATATGAAAGCTTGCAGGAAAATGCCAAATCAACAAAGATTCCCTCTTGTCACTTTCCCTTGTTAGCAGGCTCTAATTAACTTTTTTTTTTTCCTGAGTCAAACTAATATTTACACGTGCATCTATGGCAACTGTGCTTTGTGAGGCCGCCTATTCTAGTCCCACATTCTTTAGGAGATTGGCATCTTTAAAGGGGATCGGAAAGGTGTAAAAGACTGAATGACCCTCACAGTAACACACTGATTGCTACATCATCACGTCACAGTTGAGTTCCAAGGCAGTATGGGTAAATTTGTACAGTTGTCTACACAGATTAGAACATACAGGAACTGCAGGGGGAGGTGGAAGGGTGGGCTTTGTGTGCCCATGCCTGTATACAGAAACACAGGTTTATCTGAGGACAGACAGAACATTGGAAACATCTTTTAAAAAAAAAAGAAAGAAAGAAAGAGGTCTCTCACAGAGTATTAACAGTAGCTACTGTGTTGGGGGAATACCTGAGGCTGAAGGAGAAACTCCTCCCTGCATATTGCACAGGGCTGAGCTGATTCCCCCTGCTGAACAGACCTCGCCTTGACCCGAGTCCATTCGTCCTCTGTCAATTTCCCTGCAGGGGAGGCCACCAAACCCAACTTCTGAGCTAAAAGAAACAGGAAAAATGCTGATTATATATTCATGTGTCACATAAATGGAGTCTCTCCAAATTTCCCAGTGTTCGTTTTACCTAACGTTAAAGGAGGGGGAGAAGAATCAAGGACATATTCTCCCTCCTCTTGCCGATCTCGTCTCCGCGGACCCCTTTTTTCCACTCTTCCTCTTGCTGCTGGATTTCTGGGTGGTTTCCTTCTCAGCAAAGGGTCAGAAAGTGAGACATGTGGATGCAGCAGGCCGTGTGTGATATGGTCTTGAAAGGCAGCGGAGGTGATCACCAGCTTGTTGCTAGCTTTGGACGTCAAGCCCTGTAACATATGATACAAATCACTGCATTTATATAGAGTGAGGAATGAGTCATAGCAAAACTTTATAAACTTGGCAAAGTAGAAAATGTAAACTCTATCGCAGACCAGGATAAGCAATAAATACAACTAAATGCATTTGGAACCATACTGGCTAGACCAAATAATAGCAAAAGGCAGGGATAAATCACTGCATGGCCAAATGGAATATGCTATAATTATAAAGGATAATTCACTAATGCAGCAATGAGTGTGGCAAAGAAATTACTTTTTTAAAACCGACACAAATCGTTTGGCTACAGTCTATCTTCTGGTTTCCATTAAAGCAATGGTAAGTGTAACCTCACTAACACAGGTGTTTGTTAATTATCTTAATAAAATGGCAGGTGCATAACAGGCAACGTGACAACGACACTAACGTTAGCTTCAAGCCTACTTCTATCAATAAAGTTAAAGACTAAATGTATAAGAAGAAACACTGACTGGTGTATCTGCAGCAGTTTTTAAAATTAGCACATTTTCATGAGTTTAAAATGAACAAAGTCGGGTAAACAAGTCCAGACCTTCCGCATTGCCATCCTATCAACACAGTGTTTGAGCGGTTACTAGGTAACCAGTCCAGGCCCTCCTCCTCCTCTCCACACGCAGCCTCATCGCTGCCTCTGATTGGCTGAACTGAGACCTCAGGGTTAGCTGATTGGTTATTGATTCCACATTAAAAAACACCATCAACTCGATTACCTACGTGATGTGTTTGATGTCTTTATGTAATTATAACACTTCCATCTTATACTACTACTCCACTACACTTTGTTACTATGTAGAAAATAATAAATTAGAATGTAAATTAGTCTATATGATATTATTGATGGTTGTAGATTCAATTCCCCAAAAGTATGAAGAACATTTGATATATGAAAATGCTGCACATTAGTAATAATAATCAAATAACATTCTGTTGCATAATGAATACTTCTGCTATGTAAGTACATTTTGTTGAAAATATGTAATACATTTCGGTAAGAAGCAGGACTTTTAATTGTAATGGAGTATTTCTACACTGTGTTTACTGCTGTTTTCATTAAAATAAAGGATCTGGATACTTCTTCCACCATTGCTGATAGTGTTACATTTACAAAGTTTTCTATGTCTATCCCCTTCTATCACCATGCAAAGACAATTTTGCTCTTTGAAACCAACGTGCTGTGTCTCAATCTCACTAATGATTATTTTATTGTCAGGGAGTTGTCAGTGAATAGTTGGAACCTGACCAAAGGAGGTTAGTATATGTGTCTAGGTGACTCACCAAGCTGTCGTCAGAGTAGGCACTGAACAAAGCTAAGCTGCTCATACCTGTGCTGTGAGCTAAGGGTTCCCTCCCAGTTCACCCTTACATGGAAAACCATACACACAAACACACAGTCCAAACCGTCTCTTTTTGTGAGCCTGATGAAAAGTTTGCTTTATTTCTCACACACGGCGCGGGGGTGTGTGACTTTTAAAATGCTTTGCAGCCTTGATTGACTTTGATGTGTTCAGTCAGAATCGGTGAAAACAGATGGCCGAGAAGAGGGCTAACGGTGAGGCCTGTCAATCCAGGGAGTCCTCTAAGAAAACAAAGTGAAGACCTGGCTCTGGGAGAGGAGGAAACCCCTGAGCTTCTCAAGAGGCTGCTGCATTCTTGAGATTAGGGCAAGAAAAACGCAGACCACTGCTGTTAATGCCCCAGACAAAGGCGTGGAACAATTTATTAGTTAAGAATTCAAGCTCAGACCTCAATCAAAGGCCTGTCGTCCACAATGCCAGACTTGGGGCTTTGGTTTGTTTTTTTAAAGTAAATAATCATGCTTAAAAGATATGGCAAAGATGGGGCTCAGGTCCACAATAAAGCCTGCATTCTCAACTGTCATCAGAATGGATTTCAGCGTGCGCTTTTATTTTCAACAAGTACATTGTTTGTCTTTTTCTTTATGAATGCCATTTTAAAGAGCTTTTTATTTAACTTTCTTCCCCCTGGACCTCTTTACCTCATCTGTGGTATTTCTGAAAAGACAACTCACCTTGACATGCAAAGAGCTGATGACTTAAGCGAACGGTTAAAAAAAGAAAAAAAAAAAGATGTGCGTAGGAACTGCTTTGCAAATTTGCAGGTTGAAAAGAAAAAATAATCTGTGAGTCCTCTGTGGTGCTAACTGAAACAAAGCTGCCAATGTGAATCATCTTAGGCAACTGTAGAAAATATCAAGTGAAACAAAATTGACAGTAATCAATACTTGAGTAAATAAAGCATCTAGAAGCGAGTAAATGTGCAACACTTTCATGATACTGAGTCAGTTCATACTCGTAAAACAGGTCTGTGTCCATACATCATACGCTGTGAAATATTGCATTGTTGTCAAATGAGTAATTGCTGTGAGATATAGATGAGAGAGGGCAGCCCATAATGGTTAATTAACAATTATGTCAGCCAGTGAGATGACCAGGAGACCAATCACTTTGATAGGAGACAGTGGAGGGGGACAGAAATCAAATTATTTTATGACTTGACCCATAATGCTTCCCTAACATGACTTTAATCACTCCATGGTGGATAGGAGTCCCCCATGGCTATCTGGGAGTGAACAAGTCAGGATTGGAGGATAGCAAGGCTTCACTATTTGATGTTATCTCCTGCATCATTGCTGAGTAAGTAAGCTATAAAAGAACACAGCCATCATTACATCCGTTTGGTTGCTTTTCAGAGAGATGGAGCTCCTAATGATTAGACATGTCCTTTGTAAATGAAATACAAATCACCTCAGGCTTTTGGTTTTACTTCATTTACTAAGTGCTACATTACCTCATACTTTGGACCTAACAATGGATTTCCTATAAATCTCCGGGTAGTTGAAATGATGAAGGGGCTCACATATCACGAAATGTGCCAGTGCTTATTAGCACTTGAGAAGTTATTGATCGGGCATTTTGATTAATGTCCGCTGGGGGCTATGGTGGCATTCAGAGGCCCATGGAGGACCCACTGTGCAACTGGCTGGGACTTCTCCCTCTCAATTACCTCCAGTTTGTGCTGACTGCCAACCTGAGCTTTGGCGAGGCGACAGCCACTGCAGCGCCCTGATGCCAGGAATAATAGGAACTCACCCTCTATTTCCCAATTCTTCTCCATTGTTCAGACATAAACATATTGAAATCAGGAAAATGGCTATGGAGGGTGGATAGAGTGTAGTGTATGGGTCAGCACCAGTGTAGGAAATTATTAGATAATTAGCAAAGTTGTGCAGACAGCATATGGCCCAAAAACACACTCAAAGATCCAGGGCTGGATCGTTAAAGATGCATATTCAATTAAGAGTTGTATAAAGGTGAAAAATGTAGCTAAAACAAGTCTCCCTTAGCTAGTTACCATTGCACATCACATAATGCATTGATGACGGTGGCCATTTATTTCAGACAGAAGTAGACAAAAGCAATGCTGCTTCTAGTCACATTGTGCCAGCTCAAATTACTGCTGTCACTGGAAGATTTTATCAGCTGCACCTAGTTTACCTCCATGAGTTGGCTGACAAACACTATCTCTGTTCCTGTAAAAGACGTCCGGCTACTTAGGCTGGTCAATTTTAGCATTAGCAAGTATAATAAAAATGTATAAAAGTATTAGTATTAGTATTATTTTCATTCTTACATGTCTGGCTGTTAGTTTACATACTTGGATAATAAGAGAGAGGTTATATTTATGCATTATTGCTAATTTTTCAAACATTATGTTGCCGACACTTCCAAAAGGCTTTTAGATGAAAACTGTTCTTGGATAGAGTTTGGCCCGGGTTGTTGGAGTATAAACCTACCTAAATCCAATAGAGAAGAAAAGAGCTGCTAACTCTATACCTACACCAACTTTCACGCTGTAGGCCTACAACACAGTAAATGTGCCATCATGAATGGGGTTTTTTGATCCTTTTTCTAAACCTAACCTGCAATTAAATTCAATTATGATTTATTTAAATAGTGCCAAATCATAACCACTTTTCATACAAAGCAGGTCTAGATCATATATAATATTATTTACAGAGACCCAACAATTCCCACTTTAAGCAAGCACTTGGTGAGAGCGGCAAGGAAAAACTTCCTTTTAAAAAGCAAGAATTTCAAGCAGACACCTAAATAAATAAATAGAATAGAAGAATAGAAGAAAATAGATACTACTACTACTACTACTGCTCCTACTACTACTACTACTAATAATAATAATAATAACAATAATCTCCACAAAATGTATTAAGCTAATGATAAGCTTTTTTGACTGGCAAGTATTGCTGTGTTAGTACAGTAAGCTAGTCTAAGGAAAGCTAAGGTTTTCAACACCACAAGGGCTCCTGAGACTAATGAAAGGGATCACCAGGTAATACAAGGAACGTAATAAATAAAAACGACCCAATGACAATATATTTATTCATTTTGGATTACTTTTTTTATCTTTGCTTTTTTTCTTGTGAAATACTCAGTCCTTAAGACCTCTAAAAACAAAAAACAAAAACAAAAATCCTTACATGCTTACAACTAGTAGACATGCAACCTGTTCTAAAGGGTCACAAATGTGGATATATATCCATATACATTAAGAAAAAAAGATTGGGCATTTTTTTTATCACAGAACAACAGATTTTCAATTTAGGTTACTTTGGTTGAGCTGAACATGCAGAGATGATTTCAATGTAATGTCACTGCAGCGGGAACCAATAACTTCTGGCATGGTAGTGCGACCATCTTTCTCCATAATGGACAATAATTGAGCAGAATCCATCACTATAGCTAGAAATAGACCACCATAATGGCCATAAATTGTGCCCTACGAAGGCATGAGCACTGAAAACCCAGCCACCCCCGCTGTGTCTGAGAGGCATTGCAACTTCTACACATTCCCTTTCATCCTTACATTTTGACTGCATGCTGATTACATACAATGCACTTCCAGTCGAGTCAAATCATACCTTTTAAGCACAGTCAGTGCAGAGTGCAGTCAATTGACCTTTGGAGGGTGTTATGGGCACAATATATGGCAGTAATCCTGCTGAATAATACATGCTTGATTGAAAACTTGACAATGAATTTGTCTCATGTTATTTCCAGATCCATCAGTACTAGATACTTTTTGATTATATTTCTAAGATGAAGGCATTAAAAAGTATAATCCTTGGACTGGAAACACAGAGCAGTATTTGTCATGGAGAATTACACACATATTATTCATCAATCTTCTTAAAGAGGAGCTAACATAATTAACTCTTTTCATTTTTTTTTTTTTTTGAAGGAGCACCTGAATTAAATAAGCAGGGCTGCTGGAGACTTCCTTCCAAACTCCACCATAAATCAGCACCAGCTGCTATTTCATCTGATTGAACGAGTGCAAAGAGCCTGAAGTTTGCCTGTGCTGTGGGGAATGTGTTTGTGGTGAGTCTCATAAATGCCAAGTTCTTTGGGCAATAAGAATAAATATCACAACCACTCTCTAGAATTACCACATAATTGGGGACTTTCCGCGTCTGCACAGGACCCCGCTGTCTCCTCCTCTTACCCTACA